AAAAAAAAAAAAAAAAAAAAAAAAAAAAAAAAAAAAATTCATCCTGTAAGCTGTGCAAAAACTTCAAAAAAGTCTCGTACAGAGAAAGAACAAAGCAGAGACATGTAACAATGGCTAGGATTCCAAGACATCATAACAAACCTATTTATAATTATCAAGGAAAAAATTTTACTTTGAAGCTCTCCATGTTAAACATGGAAAATACCTAGATTACTGTAGATAACAATAACCTCTGCACTTGACCTTGATCATCATTTAAAAGATATGTAAAAAGATTTAATGAGGAATCTGTAGAACTGAAAAATATTAATACTTTTTAAAGTTGTTTTAATAAACTGATCAGGTAACTGGAACAAGACAAGAATGCCCACTGTCTCTACTCTTACTCCGTGTAGTACTGGAAGCCCTGGCCAGAGCAAGCAGGCAAGAGAAAGAAGTGAAGGGTATCCAGACTGAGAGGGAAGATTATCCCTGTTCACAGATGACATGATAACTATTTTTTTTTTTTTTTTTGGCAGCTGGCTGTTACTGGGATCAGACCTATGACCTCGGTGTTACGAGGTAGAGCTCTAACCAACTGAGCCAACTGGCCAGCCTACCTAGCCTATTCAATGTTGCAGGTGAAGTTAGCAGCTTAAAAATTTCTGAGACTGTTAAACATTTTTCTGCCTAGCTCAGCTCCACTAGACACGCAGCTGCAGCTGCAGCGAGTATCTGCTCTCCTCCACAGTAGTGTCACTTGTGAGCACGTGCAGCTGTGCCGTTTTGCACGATGCAACCCCTGACCACTCAGGGCTCTTCACACCTCCCAGGAAAGGGAGAAGAGCCTCAGAAACTGCGCTCCCTTCAGAAGGAAGATTTTTAATGGTCCAGCCTTTTCAATTCCACAATTTCCTCTATGCAGACTTTTTTTGACAATGTAGTTTGGAAGAACAGTAAGATTCTAATCTCTGCAGAACCTTATAGGGCTTTCTAAGACAAGAATTTCCTGCGTTGCTTCAAATGATTTGAACATTATATTACGGATCATATATTAATTTAAGTTGTACTCTAAAAAGTACAAATGCCATATTTGGGGCTATTTTTGTGATTCAGCAATCTTTTCTAAATTGTGTAAGATGTGTGTGAAACTATTTATACACCCGGATATGAAGGAAAAGAAGTGATGAGGAGGCTTTGATGAGCCACCACGGCAAGAGATTGAAGAGGTTTCGTTTTCCCAGGTTCTCCACTGTAAGCTTTGTATGGAAACTGCCATAGCACATCATGTTTCACTTATGCTGTTGTGTATATACCTAATATACTTAATTTTGATTTTATTTTAATACACATGGCCCAACAACATCTCAAGTTTTTACATGTGCTTAACATTTTCAACTATTGTCAGTGTATAATGAGTACCACTTGGGGTTGGGCGTGAGACGTGATCCCACGCAGCTATGTGCTTTACACCTGTGCGAGTTCTACCCCCGTCCTTTGAGCTTTTCACCTTGGAGAGCGGGGGAGTTGGTGACCTGGGCGCCTGAACATCCCTTTATGGGGCCAAATAAGATTTGTTTTTGAATAGGCTTAGCGGACACCACTAAAATTTCATTTTGTATGTTTTCTTTAGGGAAGGGATAAAATATTACACATTTCTTTAAATTTTAACTTCTTTTTCTGTATGATTTTTTTCAAATGTCCTTTTAAAATATTCTAAAATTCTCTATTCACAAATGCCATCTTCACAAAGGTAGAATAATGTCATTACATCATGTCTGGTCACCTGATTCACAATGGGAAGTTTTCTGCATATACCCCCATCACGTTTTATTTCAGAATCACACATATTATTACTTAATGCGTTAACGTGAAGTGTAAAGAATCCGTAAGGCAAAAAGAAGTCTCTAGAGAATTACTAAATTTATCTTCACCTTGTTTTGCTTCCTTTGGCCATTTTCCATTCGACTTTCCCTGTCTATCAAGTGTGTGACCCCCGCCCCCACAGGTCCACTCAGTGTTCAGCAGTCACCATGGCTCTTCCCTTGGCTGTAGGATTCCAGCCTCCTCTTGGCTGGCAGGTGGACTCGGGGTCTCCACTGGTGTGCTAAATGGCTTACATCATCACACCCTAGGTTATTACTGAGAATTGAAAGATAGAATGCCCAACCCCTGACCCCAAGATTCTGACTTCACTGTTGTATGGTGGAGGACATATGTCAGTCTATTTCAAAAGCTTCCCAGGTGAATATAATGTATGCACACACTTGAGATCTACCCCCTGGTTTGACCCATGTTGCAAAGTCATCATCACAAAAGAAGCCCAGCTTTCTATTTACTCAGAGGGTTTCACTTCCCAGGGGAGAGTGCAGGGATTGAGGAGGAACGAGGAGAAAATATGTCTTTCTTTCTGATGAACATGAGGCTCACTGAACCTGAAGTAAGACTCCCAGGCTTGATACTGGTGTCCTTAGATTTTTGTTTTGTTTGGGACAGCTGGCCAGTATGGGGATCCAAACCCTTGACCGTGGTGTTACAAGGTGGTACTCTAACCAACTGAGCTAACAGGCCAGCCCTGGCGTCCTTAGTAGAAGTGGCCACTGGAGTGTGCCTCCCTAGGTCCTGCAGGATCCTATTGCAGAGACTCCTTCCTGTGAGCCATGGAAAAGCCTACTGCCAGAAGCTGGTGGCCCTTTCTTGAGAGTATATAGAAGGTTAATAAAAGGAGGGACTCTAGTTCTCTGCTTGCACAGAGGGTAGACCAGGAGCACTGAAACAATTGTAAACTCACTTCCAGTTCTGCCTATGGTGCCTGCTTCCCCTTTACTCTTCCCCTTGCTCTCACAAACTACATCCAGGGGTGCAGCTGCTGAACGCAGTACTGAAACACCAGCTTCTGATATGTTCCACTGAATTAAAAGAAGTGTTCATTCTGCCGCTCGGCTCCCCAGCCCTTGTGATTTTAACTGCCAGTTTCTGCCCCTGGTTCACGAGTGTTTCTTGCTTTCTCAGCCAAGAGCATCTCTGAGATGAGATCACACATTAAATGAAGACAAGCCTTGCTATTCTTCCTGATGGAAATGGTGATTATAAACACATGAAGATATCCATACACTCCCCATGTACTCAGGACTCTCTCTTGTGCTTTGGCACTTAATAAAATCATCCCTAACTCACACAACAACCCTGGAAGATCTGGACAGTGCTACTTCACAGCTGAGAGATCAGGTGCATTTAAAGCCACAGAATAGTTTGGCTTTGCTTCGTGTTGTTTCCTTGTGAAATAAAACCAGTGAAATACCTTTGTAGCAGAATCTCCCTGACCCAGTTGGGTGTTCTGAGTGGGGAAGGGTATTACTTACATAATGCTTCACTGGGGTCCAGATGTGAGGGGAAGTTTCCCCAAAGTAATTTGTGGAAGAGAAGTCGTGCAAGAATTCAAGTCACCAGTCATTTTTAAAGACAATTTATAGAGACTACACTTCTGAATAAAATGTTTCAACAACATTTATGCTCTTTTCCATAATATGAAGATGTATTAAAACTGATACAATTTTATCCCGGAAAGTTTTAACCTGATACATGTGTAAGAGGAAAGCCTTCCAATGAAATGTCCTGTGTTCTGATGAATCTGTTAAATACTTTAGGTAAAAGTGCCAAAAATGTCACAGAGTTCCTAACGTGGTGACAGTGTGATCTTGAGTATTTCCCTTAAATGGGAAACGACAGGGACAGTCTTGGTGACCTCCATCTCTAGGTAATTGGAAAGACATCAGAAATAATCTAAGGTGGCCAGTGTGCAGTGTTAACACGGAACTTCCAGAATCCAAAGTGGCCTTATATTAAAAAACAATGCAAAAACAAAACAAAACAAAAAGTGGCCTTATCTACTTTAGTTAATAATAATGTGTTAATATTGACTCATTGGGGGCCGGCCTGGTGGCGCACTGGAGAGTGCGCCACTTGGGAGCACGGCAGCGCTCCCGCTGAGGGTTCGGATCCCATGTAGAGACCGGTTCCCGCTCACTGGTTGAGCGCAGTGCGGGCACAACACCAAGGGTTGCGATCCCGTTGCTGGTCCCCGGTGTGGGCGTGACACCGAGGGTTGCGATCCCGTTACCGGTCAGTAAAAAAGAC